TACAACAGGACTCCAGGTTAGTAGTTTTGATTACATTTACAAAGTTACAAACACTTAGAAAGGCTCTTTGACTTACAGGACTTTAATGAGCTGTTGAATTAGAGTGAATGAAAATGATGACATATCATTGGAATTTCGAGGCAAGTAAGGATTTAAAGGAATCCACATTTAAACCTTTGTGTAATTCAAACAGTTTTTTTTAACAGACTGTGGTAAAGGAAAAATATTTTTTTGTTTTGGATATATATATAATTTATATGTATATATAAATGTAAATATATGCATATATTTTATATGTGTACAATTTATATATAAACATAAATATATATATATTTGTATATATATATAAATCTTTGCCTTGCTAATGCCAGTTTCTTTGTCCACTCGTCTTAAAGACAACTCTGACATAACCGTGGGCTGTGGTTACACTACGATCTCTGTGGAGGTCGACCTCTGCACAGCTCAGTGGGCCGGCTTCAACGAGACACAGCTGGCTCTGAACGGAGCCCACAATAACCCTCACTGCCTAGGCACTGTTGACACAAGTGTGGATCCGCCCGTCCTCCGTTTCCAACTCCCCGTCAACGACAGTGAGGACAATCCCTGCCGTCAATCGCTGCAGGTTAGAAGCTTTGAGTTACAACATGCAAAAACAACCCGGGGAAAATGACTCCTTGCTATTGGACTCCATGGCAGACACTCATCTGAGGAGTCTCTCTCCTGTTGTCTGACACAGATTGTGGATGAGGAAACGTCTCCCGATGGCGCCTTTAGTGATTTCCTCAGTATCCAGTCAGTTCTACTGACAGGGTTCATTGACACGCCCAGGGCGCAACAGGGGTTGGTCAGCTACTCCACCAACCTCACCTACGAATTCTCCTGCCGTTATCCCCTGCAGTACCTCCTTAATGACACACAGATTGTGGCGTGAGTAGTGTGGGTGAATTTCTGCCGCAAAAGACATACAACTCCTGCATGCAAGAGATTTTGAAAATGACAGGGCCACCCTACTTGCCTCTTTGAGCATCTGCACCTTTCTTTTCCTTCCTTGACCTCCGACTGAGTTGTTGACTACGACGTTCCTGTTGAGTCAGGAACGTCGTAGTCTTGCTAATGAGACCTAAACAGGAACTCTGGTCTTAAAACTAGTGCTATTAGCTAAAATTACATCTTGCAAGCCATCTGTAGATGTTATTGACATAATGGGTGTTTGCATTTTCAATCACATTCCTTTTTTTTTTTTTTTGACGTTTAGATCGTCAGTCTCTGTGGCGAAAGATGAAAGAAATGGAACGTTTATTGATTCACTAAAAATAGCCATCTTTAATGTAAGTCTAACAATGTCTGTTAGATCTGGGTTAGCCACAATAATCTGTACCGAGTGAAATACATTTTGATTTCTCTCCAGGACTCTGACTATGCCCATCCACTCGTGATTCCTCCCACTGGACTTAAGCTGCGAACCTTGGTCTATGTAGCAGTCGAGGCGATCAACCTGACAGGGAAGTGCGTGTCGTTCGATTGTAACAGTGAGTGCAGCACATTTTAAGAGCAACAACGTCACTTTCCAACTTCTGTGTTTACAGTTTTCATGTACTTATGGACCACTGCTTCAGCACGCCCAGTCCCTTCAACATCAGCAACAGTGAGAAACACAGCTTTTTCACTGGGTACGGAAACACACAGCAGTTCAATGATGTCGTGGATTTAAAGGGGACATATGCAAAACTGGCTTTGTCAGAGTTTGGTACACATACTTGTTTCTCTGGAGTGTTTGTGTACTTCTAAAGTAAGTATGAGTGTTTACGACATTTTTTTTCAAAATCTGAAAATGGGTCTCAAAATGGGCTCTGGATCCAACAGTTGGACCACAGCTAGTCATATGGGTTCCTGCAGGGTTACTATACCTGGCTCAGAGCTTCCCAAAACCCTGACCTGCAGACCTCTAACGGTCTGTGGGTCCATTGGTACTGGGCCACAGGGAAAGAATATTTTCCATTCAGTTTTTTTATTTGAAGTAATTTTGGAAATTTTCAAAATAAATCTTTCAGACTACAATAGTAACATAATAAAGTCTGAAAGAAGTTGTATTTTTTTTTAAAAAATCACCAGACCTTCAACAGTCCTTTAACAACCTTTTAAATGATTGGTGCAGCACTAATGGTTAGTTTTTATACCAAAGTCACAAACACTTCAGCTATAAAAGAATCTACTCTCCCACAGCTGTGAAGTGAATGAAAGGTCAAACCTAACAAGCAACGGTGAATCCAAGACCGCCAAGTTCCACTTTGAAGCCTTCCGCTTCTTGATGGGCCGTGACCAGACGAAGTCCTCTCTCTTTGTGCACTGTCTGGTGAGACTCTGTGAGCCCACCAAATGTCAAGAGCTGCTGTCTGTAAGTGGAGTTAATTTAATGATCCGACTGATCACAAGTGGAAATGTCTAGTCACACAAAGAAGTATTCAGTCAATGCACCAGAATGTAAGAGAACTTAAACACACAGCTTTTATTGCAGTGCCTAAAGTAATCCATTATAATGCTATAATATTGAACTAAGCATCTGCAACTTCAGCCAGATAGTCAAACAGATGGAAAGTTTATTCATTCTCAAATGAAAATGAGCTTATATCTAAAGAAAACCCAATAACATTTCCTCTCATCAGCAATAATGATTTTTGAAAGAGCTCCATATAAGTCAAATATAATAAAACATTAAGTAAAATCTAATCTAATTATACGTACCCTGAAGAAATCATGGATATTGTGTGGTTAGATTACCTTAAGAAAGAAAATGACTTTCACTAACCCAATACACACAGGATAGATATCACATGATGTAATTGCATTATTTACAAATGCTATACTTTCCATAAAATCACTCTAACTGAAATATATATATATATGTGTGTGTGTATTCCATGTTATTTATTTCAGTTATACATGAAAAGAAGAGTTTCCAGTTGCTGTGACGTTTGTTACAGTGGCACAGAATTCAGGCACATATTTTGCTTCACATCAGTTTGCTAAGCTAGCGTGCTATTTTAACTATATGCTACTTGACTTTCAATTTATCTTTAACAAAAATTATTAAATAATGTGCACCGCAAAACAAGGTTTATTTACACTTTCTTCGTCCTTTATAATCCAAACAGTAGGTCTTCCTTTTCCTGGAGATGTCAAAGTAGTAGTGGACTCGATACTCTCCTTGAACAAGCTGATTGACAGCTCTGTTTGGTGTGGCCATTTTAAGCATTAGAAGCAGCAATTAGATTTTTAGGATAATATTCTGTATAAAATGTCACCACGAGGATCAGTAAACTCTTGGTTGCCAAGATTGTTAACTTTTTAACTCAAATGTTCTACAGGTCCTGGTTTTAATAAATCTGCACTCCAGACAGTGTTTTTTTTATCATCCTATTATTAATGGTGTTAATTTTTCTTCTTTATTCCCTTAGAGTTGTAATTTTAAGAAAAAAAGATCCTTGACCCCCTTTGGAGACGTAGGCAAGGACTCAGCCACTCTCTCTGCCGGACCAATTTATACTGCGTCAGATGGTAGGAGCATTTTCAAATGCAATTACTTCAAAACATTTGCAGTTGTTTTCAAAATGCAAAAGAGGTGACAAAATAATTTTATTTTTTCTTTATGTAGAAACTACTGATATGGTTGAAAACGGTGAGTTTACTTTTATTTACACAGGAACATCTAAAGTAGATACTGTACTGATGCGGTCTAAAGTAACAGAACGTCCGTCTGTCTCTACCAGGTATTCTTATTTCATCTGCTAACGATGGCGTGCATGTGATGAACCTGTTGGTGCTCCTGGGCTCGGCTGCTGCTGTTTTGATCAATTCTGGCAGCTGGTCTTCTTGAAGAATCTGATTTGGCAGGAGGATCACGTTGTACCTTTGGTTACGTATCACTTCCTCTGTCGATTGGTTCACGTAACTCTACATGTTATGCTAAAACATGTTATGATATGTTAATAAAGGACATGATAAGTTGCATGAAAAATCTGTAGAAGAAATAGGAGATCAATATAATGTTCTAATATTTACTGAGACTTTAATCTGACCATATATGTCGTTCAATCTACCTGATGTTTGTTGTTCATAATTTTTTGGTAGTAATTTGTATAGAAAACAGTTTTGTACTTTAAATCAATAAAATGAACATATGTGTTTTAAAGATTATGAACACATTAAAATGCTAACAACTTTTATCCATTCACATTATTACACCATACACAGTTGCCAAGGTCACATTTTAAATTTAAAAAACTTACAGTGATCAGTATTTACATTTATATATTTACATGCTGCCAAAAACAGACAGGAAACAGTTTGGACAACCCAGGGTGAACAAAATGGATTTTCATATAAAAACAAAGAAAAAATATTAATTTAAAAGTTGTTTTTAAAGTGTTTTTATAGGAGAAAGACACATGTTGCTTTGATAAAATTCAGTTTTGTAGGTTTTGTATAAACAGGTTAGCCATGTGTCCCCATGTGAGAATAGTGTTGCATGAAAATTGAGCGTCTAAAAACTAGTGCTTCCTACCAAGAAAAAGTGCAAATCTGTACCGGTGTCACTCCGTCACTACACTGAGTGTAGAATGTCCTGGATGAGAACAGAGAGTCTCACTGAGAAGTCCTCCTGCAGAGAACCTGCAGGCTGCATGGAGGAAGTGGAGGAAGGGATGGGGGATCGGTGTGCCTCTGTGAAATCCTCCTCCAGCCCTTTAAAAAACCTCTCCTCAAACACTTGACTTAGCAAGGCTGCTCCGTGGCAGAACTGCTCCACACTGGCTGTCACTTCAGCCTTAAAAGACAGTTCTGTTTCTGTGATGGCAGCCATCTCTGCTTTGAGAACTTCCACTCTATTCTGTGCCTCTGCCCTCAGCGATGTGACCTCCTTTTCTACCCTGGACCTCATTAGCTGCCAGAGCTCTGACTTGTCTGACTCTTCTTCAGCAGCACTGACCTCTGCCAATCGTTCCAGCATCCCAAATGTCTTGGTCTGGAAGTGGCAAATGATGTCATCCAGCTTGGACCTGCTCTGCTCCAGGGCTTGCGTTATCCAGTGGACAGCCTCCCCTTTTTGAGATGGATTAACATTTTCCTGACCATCTGCTGCCTCCAGACTCAGCTGGCTGCAGAGCTCCTGAGTGCTGCTGCTCAATGAGCTGTGGAGCTCCTGGATGAGGGGAAGCAAGCGTTCTCTCATGTCTGCCAGGTTGGAGCTGAGGTGTGCTGCCGCTGCTGATGATGGTGACAACCTCTCCCGCAGCTCCGCAAGCTCTTGGCGCAGTCGTGTGCGCAGGCGCTCAGACTCCATGTTGAGTTTGTGCTGCATCTCCTCCGCCATGGGGTTCTTGTTGTCATGGTCTCCTTGGTAGTACAGGCTGTTGCTGTCAAGGTGACTCTTGTAGAGATTGCTTCAGGAAGATAGACAAACACAAATTATATAATCTAAACTGTCTAACAAAGTTCCAACTGTGAATGTAGACAAGCTGGTTTCAGATATTGACCAGTACTCACTCCATGTCCTTTGTGAGGTTGGTCTTGTCATGAGCCTGGTTGGTCTTTGAATCCGTCCAGACTGCCCCTCTGGTGTTACGGTGAAGTGGGAATGCTATATATACGAGTACATATGATTAAAATTATTTAAAAAACCACCACCACCTAATTAAACAGACCGCTTGACCAAACAAAAGTATACCTGAGGATGTCAAGAATGACAAGCTGATTATCAAAACCTTCAGATGCATATTTACTTTTCTGTAAAAGAACAGACGAGAGAAACATCAGAATTTAGACCTAACTGAAAATGTGACTCGGTTTAAATGTTCTTATCACTAGCATCAACGAATGAATGAGCTGCTGGCCCTTACCTGGGGATCAAGGATCTGCAGAGAGACTTTTCCCCTCATCTGACTTATAAAGTCTGTGTTATCAGAGGAGCTGCCCAAACTCTGCCTGTGTCAACATTCTACACGTGGAAGGTCACAGTAATGTCAGGAAACAACATGGATAGACAGACAGGACACACACACACACAACACACACACACACTCACTTTTTTATGTTTTCTGAGCATTTCCACCAATTCCAAACCCCACTCTGATCTGACCCTAATTCCAATTCTAACTCATTAAATCTTAAAATTCTAATTCTTAGTAGACCCTCACATGGACTGTGTCCTAAAAAAAATGTCCCCACAAATATACCTTACCAGGTACACACGCACACACAGGTTTTAATACTTTCTGAGCGATTCCCAATTGCATAGTTTATGGCATGGCATGTATTTGTGCTTAATTTCACCCAAACTCTAATCGAATCCTGTTTCTAATCCTAATTCCAGACTGTATCTCCCACTTAGTGGGTACCTGCTAAATGTCCCTACAATAAAACACTGTCCCCACAAGTGTAGCTTCACCAACACCATACACACACTGCACACTTAACCACAAAAACTATTTAGCACTGATTACAAGTAAGTCATCTGCAGGAATAAAATAAAAACACAGATAAGAATAAAACAAAACAATATGTCAAAATGTGAGTAATAAATAAAAAATAATCACATTTTGAACCACTACATCCAAGCTGGTATCTGGACGTCTGATGAGGTTCATTTGGTTCAAGTTTGTCCATCAAAGGTCAGATAAGAGAATTGACCGGATCTTTTGCTTTTGACGTCACTTTGCCAGGAACCAGGGTTGTATGGATGTTAGGACGTGTGGTTACTTTGTGGCACGTTGTGTAACATTGAGAGTAATTTTTTTCCCTTTTGTTTGTTTGTTTTGAACAACTTAAATTACACAACCATTCAGTGTCCCTTGGTCTGGACTCTCTTTGTGAACCTGCTTTATTTTGACTTGATTTGGAAGCTTGACAACCAAGTATTTACACACGTTTGTGCAATCTGACACTGCCTTGGAAATACTGTCAACTCTTTTCCCCTCTCTAATAAACAAGCAACAACTTATAGGTGAAAGTAAATAAAGTATAGATGTTTTAACTCATTCCATCATTGCTTTAATTAATTACACTGCACTACAGATGCAAAATGCTACGTGTAGTGGTTTCCTACGTGTGACATGGTTTCTAGGTGAAAGTTGAATCCTCTTTATGTTAGGTAAGTTACAAGTCGTCACTCTGGGATCAGAGTTCATAGCTGCCATGACGAAATATGTAGGTTATTTCTCTGCTCCAAAGTCTAACATCTTATTTCAATACAATAACAATATCGAGAGAGGGAGGAAGAGGCGGCTGTATAAGGTAACAGTGATAAAATTCTTATCTGCAGTGTTAAAGCAAACCTAATGATTCATTGCAGCAACACCACGGTTGACCACCATCTCATTCTGCAGTTCACATACTTCAGATTGACAAAACCTTCTGTAGCCCCTTGGGGCAATAGAGGCAGCTATAGGGTAAAGACTAGGACATTAAAGAAATAATTACAGAATTAAAACTAATTTTAAAAGAATTACAAAACAAAACAAAAAAGAACAGAATTTAGCATGTTAATGACCACCAAATCGTATTCACTGAAATTCTTGGATCATTGTGACATATTCTCAACTGAGAAAGTCTTTTCTGACCGACGCTGTGACTTATTTCGGTGAAACAGCATGTTCAAGCAGAGCTCCGTGGTGATGTACGTTTGGAGCTGAATCATCAATCAGTTTCATGCTAGGACTGAGACAAACAAACGCAGTAATGTGATCTGGGGACATCAGAAAGACTTTCCTTCTGCTTTCACTGTTCCCTTTTCATCAGCCACCAACCCCGGTACCTGTCACTGTCACCTAACCTCACAGGCCTCATAAATCATTCAGCAGCCCATTAGATGCTGCACAGTCCAACAAGCCCACGACTTACCTTGGAGCTGCAACCAACAGGCAGCTCGGGTTATGTGTAAACAACCACAGCAGTCAGGAGAGGTTTTAGTTTGTGGCATGTTTGCCGCAATAACTGTCTTTTTGGTTTTGGCCAATACCTGATGTGCTGGAGACAGATTATAAAAGCGTTTTCAGGAATGAGGTGAAGGTTCCCTTCAGCTCAGCATCATCACCATGCAGAGGACAGGGAGATGCAAGAGTTTCGGGTGTTTGTGCTGGCTGTTTGCTCCTGTGCTGCTCACTTCATCGCAAGCAAATAATTTGAGTGACCAGTACCAGGAGAAGTTGCCCTGCCTGCCAGGTAGGCCCTGCGGACTTTATGCTATTGTGAGTAAAATTAGCAAAAGAAATAGGCTAACTTCTAGCTTTCAAATTGATGATTTTAATGTGTTTTGTGTCTAGAGGCACGGCATCCCAAAACTTCACCACCCTGAATATTATTCAGTTTTATGTAGTGAGTTTAACTATTTTGAGAGCTAATAATTGGAACTTTTTTCATCAATGGGTAAAACAAATGAATATCCTTCCACTTAGTGGTCCCAGATGCTGGCTATGAAAATGTCCAAAAAAGACTCTGAGCTGGTGAAGGTCATGGTGTTTGTCTTTTTTCTATTCCTGCGGGTTTATCAGCTGGTGTTCAACTAAACAGGCTCATGATTCAAACTGAGGTAATCATATCATTATGTACTTTATCCTTACTTATGTTATTTACTTCGTGTGACATTTGTGTTTGGTGATGCACCATCCAATGTCAAATATGTCAGTAAAACCACTAATCCTGGGTTTAATTCCAAGTGGAGTTGATTGTCTCTTTTCACTTTTAGGATTCTTCTGCCCAGTGGGGGGCATCAATGCAGTCCCCTGTCCTAAAGGAACCTACGGACCAACCCCTGATGGTACATCCATTGAAAGCTGTCTGAAGTGCCCTCCTCACCACTATTGTCCTAGACCGGGATTACCGACCCCACGGTTCTGTGGCCCTGTGGCTCAACAGCCTCTTTCAGGACAAGAGACATGTCTCTGTCCAACAGATGGACAAATATTCCAGGTGAATTATATGATTTCAGGAATTAAAGATTATTTTAAAAGTTTTCTTAAAGACTTCACAGCGTGTGGTGGTCTGTGGTGGTCAGGTCCAGCATTCCAGATAGCCATGGCCTTTGGTCTCCAATTGTGCACTGCTTAGTCCTGGGGAGGGGGGCGTACGACACTAGGTGTCTGCAGTCATTTCTCATATTTGTTGTTTAACACAACATGCAGGTATTTTGACAGGAATTTATTTTCCTGTGGTACAATTACATGCTAACTTTATATCAGCGCTACTTCGCCGCCCACCTCCTACTGTACCATTAACCCACTTTCCTCTTTGTTCCATTAAGCTCTTCCTTTATTCCACATCAGCAGAAGTAACTTACTTTTTGTTAATGTGTCATCCTTGAGTTGGGGTAGACAATGAATGTAAGTAAATAGTCACGATAGGTTCCTCACTATCAGTAACTTTAGACCCACAATCTCATCAAGCTGAAAGAGCTGTAGATTAGGTTACCTCACGATAGGGTCTTGTTGTTAAGTCTGCTGCAGCTGATATAACTGCCTGTCTTTTCACTCGTCACCCTATGATCAGGGAATAAGATTTGTTTTAGTCTTATTATGTCAGAAAGAATGGCAGGAAGAAAAAGAAACTGATCTTGGTCTGGTTTCCCTGTCAGATGTATGGCTTTTTGACTTCTATATCTGCCCTGAATTCTCATCAGATGTTGGACATTTGTTCTCTGCAGATCCTTTTGTTTGAAACTTGAGATCACTATCATCACCATCATGATTCTAAATGTAATCACTAAACACAATCAGTGATAGAATTTGCAGTGCCTGAAACTTTTGCACACTCCTGGGTCAATGAAAAATATTCCAAACAAATAGCGATGGCAACAATGAGTTGGCACTTTGAGTTACTCTCTGAGAGGAGCCTGTTTGCAGATGAATAAAAAAATATAACTGTTACATTAAACGACTGAGCTTTGTATTAAATAACTTTCTCACAGCCGTGCTGCTTCTTCCGCAGATCAGTGATGGGCAGTGTCAATGTACCATCGGCTACCGACCAGCTGATGATGGAGATGTGTGTGTACACAAGGTGTACAATGTCTGCAGGGACGGACAAGCACGGACGCAGCATGGAGACTGTCTGGACAAGCATCTCTGGTCACTCCACTGTAGGCAGCAGGTTGGACGGCCAATATTCACATACTAATGCAGCCTAAAAGTAGAGCAAAGGTTCTGTCACCAAAGGTGAAAACCCACCAGGAACTCTTTTACAGATATTGTAAACTTCAGTGTTTGTTTACAGATGCTACTGACAAGAAGAGTGAACATAACCCAGATGTCTTTGACCCTTTCCCACAAGTTCTATCTAGAAACGCTGTTGTCGGTATTAGTCCCACTTAATATTAACCAGAAACACACTCTTGGCAGCCTTTAAGCAAGGTCTGTGAAAGCCTTGTTTATTTTTGACACTGTAACCTTTGATACATGTTACTTTTCACCTAGTTTTTTTAGAACTTTGTTTTTGAGTAATGATGGATCAAAAAGAGTCAATTATTATATGATTTATGAAGTGAAGTCTTCCTGCAGGTGTGTCAATCTCCAGCGGACTACTGGGGTTATGACGGACAGCTGGGCCTGTGTGTCTGCAAGCAGCCTCCTCAGAGAGCTGCGTGTGGAGGCCTGTGCAGGAACAAAGCAGCTGCTGAACTGCAGCTCCAGTGCACGCCAGGTGGAGACATGGAACTGGTTTGGAGATATGGGAATGTGGTGAGTAAACACTGATCATTTATTTAAAGTCCTCAAAAACAAAGACGGTGAAAGAAATGAAGACAAACACAGAATGACTGCAGGTGTCTGATGGTATGGATCACTACAACTTGTTCAGAGAGGTCTCTGTCATCTTTAAGAATTCTGATGACTTTTATAATTATATCTTTGTCAAATGTTGAGATATGTTACCATTTGATTTGTTGAGGTTTTTCCAACCGTAAAACACCAATAAACCTTTTGAGCATCATCAAAATTTAACCAAACTCACACAAAAGATTGAGGCTTTGCTGCAGGTTTTACTCTGCCACATTTTACAAAGAAGGAATTTTTTGATAGAAGCACCACGGCTGAAGACATCATACAGCCTTATATGGATTATTTGTAGAGCAACTGCTTTTGTTCAACCAAAAAAGACACCGTTTTTTGTAGAAATGGTCCGTAATGTAAAAAAGGAAAAAGTGCAGGTATTGGAACTTCCCATTTTACCCCTAATTCACATCCATACAGTAGTTTCATTGAACCTGCCATACAATAGACACAATGAAGTCTTGCTACCTGAAGACACAAAGCAGTGGAAAACTAAACACAATGCTGTCTTTATTGCACTAGCAGTGAACACTTAACACAAGTGTCGCCTATGTTGCAGTGACCTAATATAAGGTTATAGAGTGTTGTTGTGTCTGCAGGTGCGGAGCGTCCCAGACAGCAGGCTGGAGACAATGTTCAAACAGTGGGATTTTCAGGGAGTTCTGCAGTGCAGCGACCCCTTCCACTTCTCACATCCCGTTTACACTGTCCTGACAAAAGGTAACCACGGAGACGTTCACAAACATGTAAGATTTACTCTTGTGCATGTGGATTCTTAACCCTCTCTTTCATATGTTCTGTGTGAAGATGCAGGTTTCCTGGGCCTCCAGAGTGGACTCCCAGAAGAACTTCAAAACCTGTTTCCTGTTACTATAGGGACGGATTCCTATAACCCTGACAGTTTGTAACAACATGTTGTTAAAAGCATGATAATAATGATAATAGTGAAGATTAGGGATGTAACGATTCATCTTGAATCAATTAATAATCAATACAAATACATGACAATTTGCAGTGGTTGAAAGAAAAATTACCCATCAAAGCGTTAGGAGTAGACTGCGTTGTCTCAAAAGTCACTGGTCATACCATGAGACTAAACAGGCTGTACTGTTGGTGGTGGTATGTGTCTAAAAACGTTGGTTGTGTCACTTGCCAAAAAAAATCGGAAATTGGAATTGCAAAAAAAAAAAAAAAAAAAAAAAAATGCAATTGGTGCGAGCTAGTATATTACATACTGTAGTTCTTACAAAAAGGGATCATCATATTTGGTCATGATTTGTCTGAAGCAATCATATTGTATTGAGTTGAGTTGAGTGTATCGATACATCCCTGGTGAAGGTGTGACTGTAAATGAAGGTCCATTACTGATTTTAGAGGAAGAGGCAGATTTTCTATTGGGAATCACTAACGTTGGTAATGTGAGCCATGGAAGTGGAGAAAACAAGAGCGACTTGAAGAAAGAAGTAACAAACATCGTTGGAGTTTTGAACCCAACCACATGTCTCCATATGGGGGACGTTCTGCTGTTTGCGGTGGACAAACGTCACTATCCTGAGTATGACCAGTGAGTCCCTACGACCCACCTGTATATTGTAAACCTGTGTTGTGGTTGGATCTGACACTTCGACTCACACTGTCCTGTCCCACAGAGACAGTCTGTATAACACAAACAAGGACTTTGACTGGGGGGCATTCAGACAGCTGAAGGAGGAGCTGGCCCTGTCTTGGAGCCCTCCCAGCTTCTTCTCGGTGTTCTTCAGTCAGCCGGGGGTGCACGTTTTCACACTGAGCAGCAATCAGCACAAACATATGGTAATTACTTTTACAGTGATTAAGTATGTTTGGTCTGCCAGGACAATAAGATGTATTGGGCAAATCTATAAAATGATTTATGATTATTTATATTTGTACCATTATTAATAATAGTAACTATGACAATGACAACAGCATCGGGTTGTGGTCATCACTGGTGGCCTGAGGTTTTAACCCAGAGGGAGATGGCGATGGCCAGGTGAGAGGGATCAGCCATGGTTTTACCTGCATGCCTCAAGATCATGGAGGTGTAGAGGTCATTATGAGAAGGAAGATTGTGGCCAATCCTGGATGATGCTCTGTAGACTGGCAGGAGCTGGAGCATACCAGACTGTCATGTTGTTAAAATGACTTCTTCTTCTGAGGACAAGTCATTATAATGACAATGTACAAGAACACGTCCAGGGAGAAACTGCTCAGTGCACCACGGGAGTTCCTCAGTATTCTAGGCCTTTAGCAGTACATCTGTACTCTTAGCATCTCTACGTTTAATCAGGCTAAGCCAGGCTAAGTGGATTTCCTTTTTTGCCTAATTTATACTTCGTTTTTATAAAATGTTTTTTAACCAGGTAGGTTGATAAAGAATCAGTTCTTACTGGCAATGACATACTGTCCAGACTAAGCAGAGTAAGCCAATAAGGGCCTGACATTGGGGCCCTTAAGTTGATATTCGAGGGCATCGGAATTGACCAATTTCTTTTGAGTAAAAAGAATAAAATGATGAATTTTAGAGATGATGAAACCAAGTTTTTGTTTTTTCTCAGTATGTTCAGGTGATGCCTCCAGGGGCCCAGTGTTACGAGTCTGACATTTTCTTCCCCACCACTCCCCGCCACGTCACCAGGGTGGGAATCAGAAGGAGACGTAACCTGTTACTTCGTCCTGATTGGCCAGTGACTGGAGGTTTGTTGTTTGGAGCCGTGGTCATCCTGTGTTTGTGTGTCACAGCTCTGGTCAGTACAGTCTCACACACGCACACACAGAAAATATAAAGTTTAAACAGATAAAGCATAGTTCTATCCCATGTGCAGATCTTATTCCGTGAATATGGTTGGCCAGAGAAGAAGCCAATCAGAGCTCAGTACCGCTTGCTGCAGTTGTCCTACCACATGGACGATTACTCATCAAAAGGTTCAAGGGTGATCTCACAAAGGAAGACGCATCGTAACCAGCAAATCAGAATGACCCAAGACTCCATTCAAACAGGTGCAGAAGACACAGATAAAGCACAGGCACACACACATTTATTTTCAAACCGTTGCATAACATATTTTCATTACATTACAATCCGTACACACACACGCTTTGTTTTTATACATCACAAAGACATAACAGAATTACAAATTCACATCGACTCCTAATCCATACCCTCACTCTAATCTGACCCTGATCCTGACTCTAAAGCATATCTTAAACCTCCAAATAAAACAAAGTGTTCCCACAACATTTGTATTTTTCCAGAAATATGTCCCCACAAGTGTAGCTTTTCCAGGAACACACAGACACATGAGGTGCATTCAGCTGATTGGTCTTCAAGGACCCTTGGGACCTCTTATATAACAATGGCAGCGACCCCTTGGTATTGGTCCCACCCAACCAATTATATCATGTGCAAAGACAAAAGAGAAACAAACTAAAAAAAAATACACCCAAAGAACAAAATCATCCACTGTGTGTTCGGTTGTATGACGTCCCCAGGCCAAAAGCTAAAATAGATATTTTTTGCTGGTTAGAGTCACGTGTTTCAAGAGAAGTCTTTGAAGACAAAATGGGCATGACTTTCTCTGCATCCACCATCACCAAATGCTCATAAACATAGGGAGACCTGGGAATATTTGTCCATGCTGTACAGCAGGGCTCACCAAGCAGCGTTTTTCTGGACACTGAGAGGCTGGACACAAAAAAAAAAAGAAAGAAAAATCTGTCTAACATTATTTTTTGTTTATGTTGCAATCCAGTCCAGGGCTGCATTGGAAGGTTTGGTGGGCCGAATTAGGACCACAAGTTGATGATCACTACTGTACAGCATGCATGCAGTTTAACCTTGTGACCAGTATTTTATTTCCTGACTGAAACATGTCTTATATTCTGTCCTTTTCACGCTCTTTTTTTACTCTCTTACATTTCCCATTTTCTTGCTCTCTGTCATCGTACCAACAGTCTGTGCAGACACCTTGGGGGAGTTCTGGGACTATGAACACCAGGTGGATTTGGAGGCCTTTAGCAGTAACACCTTCTACAGCCTCCTGCTCAAACAGAGCCTTTCTGTAACAACACGACTGGGACAACTCACTGCCGAGGTCAGCAGCTCTTAGAATAAACGCTATATAAAAAAACCCCCACAGGGTATGTTTAAAAAAAAGTTCCTACAAATATATGTTAACTATGTCTTCCGCAAAAAAAGAAGTTTGCATTTCAGTTGCATGCATTTTGAGGTGACAGCAACAAATTCCGTTTCTTTTTTAATTGAGTGTCTATAAAATTTGAAATGTATTCATGTGTTATATCTTCAACATATTAGATACTTCAACCACTTCAACTTCAACCAAACATTGAGACAGATTTTGATCTCCTCTGTGATATAAGACCAGAATCTTCCAGTGGACCACACAATGTTCACTCTACATGTCTGTGTGCTTCCTGCAGAATTAGGTTAACCGTTCACTCTCTCATTGTGCACAAATGTGAATGTAAGTGTGAATGGTTTTTTGTCTGGACTAGAGAACTGACTTCAGAGTCTTCAGCCGCTGGGTTTGACTCCAACTCCAGGATTTCGCAGTAGCCATTATTAACACTGACCCTGTAGGGAATGTTTATAACAGCCCTCAGTTAAGTTAAGGGTAACCTTGTTGTCTAATGAAACATAGAGCTGTGGAACAACACAGACTGTACATTTAAGACTAGAATCATTGCCACCAAACAATGCCACAGGAAAGGGCCAAGTTGCTCAGTCACTTTAGCCTTGAGCGAGCCTTTCAGTGAGAATCTCTGCTCTTGTCTACAGGCTGCAGTTCTGATTACTATTGTTTAAAGTGAGATACATTAACAAAGTCTCTCTTCAGAAAGGTTTACAGGAGGATCAGGGCAGAACCAACAGTGTATCAGTCTACGCCACAATCAGCTTTTGAAGATTCACTACTAGGTGTATGTTTTCAGCTATATCTCTTTGACTGTATATCTCTGTCCCAAATACAAAGTTGATGTACTCTGACTCAGATTGGATGTCATGGGTGAAATACATCTGTTTATAGTCACCCACATCTTTCCTGTTTGTACTCTGTGCAAATTGTTGCCTGTGACTGTGGTTACAGCCCTGGGGACACTGAGGTGATGAGGACGTAAGAGGAGACGGCACATTTAATGATACAGTGTTGTCTCAGAATCATGGATGTCTTATCAGAGCTGCTTAAGTGAGCAGGAGGCTAAACTGGGTTGTGGTCTAGTAACTGTTTCCACTCATGTTCTGTGTGTGAATCAAGGTGAAGGAACTATACCAGGGAGTGCTTGGGAAACTGCAGCCCCTCCATCGATGCCTGTACACTGAGGAGAGACAGGGTGAGGAGGGTGAGAGGATCAGAAGGGACGTGGAGAGGGAGGTGGTGCGACGCAAGACTCTGGCCTCACAGCTAAGAACTCTGCTTGACAGTCAGATACAGGTGAACATAGACCCATATTCTCCTGAAGCATGTGGTTATTTTGCTTCCTCTTTATATACAAACAACATGTACCACTTCTCCCTCCCCTGCAAGGGGTGCTATTAACACAGTTTGAATGCCATGGTCCATTAAAGGCTTTTTTGCCTTGTATATGTGACATGTGCAACGAAAATAAAGGAGTTTTTTTTAACATATAATATATTAAAATAATTATAAACTTAGAGTATTTCATCACCATAGAACAACCTAAAGTGGCACTGCTTCCTTTCTTACTGTAGGTGTAGGTTACTGTAGGTGTGCAGAGTTATGTTCACTTTTCCAATTGTCAGTATAAACCATCAACTGGCATTATTTTATTTGGCCACTTTAGGTGGTTTACAATCCAATAGTACAACATGAAATACTTGGATCACCTTCAACGAGAGAAAAAAGCAGAGCAAGAAAGGGATGGCATCACTGCAGATGAACATACCACCAAATACTTGCTGTGGATAATTAAAATTACTATTTCAACTCTAACCCTAACCACTAACCTTTCCTTTTAAGATTTTAAGGAAAGAGCAACAGGCCCAGCAGAGAGTCCATGGTGCCTTCATGAGTCATCTCAGAGAGACCCTCCGTTTGCTCAACAAGCTCCATAATTCCAACCAACCATCCTGTGAACTACACCAGCAAAGGTAAACCCATTCACAGCAAACAACTATGTCAACATATATATATATATATATATTTGCTGTTATCTTCAGTTGGATCCAGAGAATGAACTCTCTGGTGCATGAGATGGGAGGGCTGGTGACCGGAGAGTGCCAACGTCAGGGGATCTGGGAGTTTTTGGGGGAGGCTACAGGAGCTAAGCTACTCTGCCCTGACACAGGAGCAGTGCTGACCAGGGAGCACATCTTTGGTGAGTGTTACCCACCTAAGTGAAAGAGCTAGGAGCTATCCTAGAGGAACAGCACCATCTTTTGCTAGAAGTGTGCACTGCACTAGGACGCACAATTATAAATACACTAGTATAATAATATACACTAAGTAAATGTTAAAATTATATATACTGTACAACACACTAAATATAACAAACGTTATATGAATTAGTTTTAATCAGTGATCCACTGTGTATTTCTGACCTAGGCCTTCAGTGGCGTCCTGCCGAACAAATCAACATCCTAATACATGAATGTACAGTTTGTCCAGTCAGATTCATGGCAAAAGTTTTAAATCGCTTCAAGCAGAGAATGTTCATTTGACAGTGGAGCAGTAGACACAGAGAAAATGTAATTTTCGAGCATACAAGTGGCTCAATTCAGTTTGCTAGATTGAAGATCCTGTGTTCTTTGACCATCCAATCAAATCACTCAAATTACCAACGTATCTTCCGGCCAGCTCAAAGACCTTGTTATGCCAATTTGTTGCTGTTGTTCCTGAAAACGTCATTCCACCCCTCTAATGCAGAACAGCTTGATGATACTCATCATCAGAGTTTAATGACTGCTCACAGACGCAGCTCCTTCTGTCTCTCTCCAGGTCCTGATGGCTCTATGCTTGCCTGCCCGGTGCTTCACTGCGATTCAGTCACAGGCCTCATTCGACCAAATTCTTACTCACATATGTTGTTGAGCAGCTGCCACACCACAGCAGTACCACCTGATTTCTTCCTGCACCCACAGACCTGCAGGGTTTTGCCCATTGCTGATAACGTGGCCTACGACCCTGCAGCCTCTACACTGGTGATCACAGCAGGCTCGTGTACAGGTAACTATATAAAACCTGAGGGCTACCTGATGTCTTTTGTTCTGGAACTAAATGTGATACAGTCTGGGGATCCAGATCCTGAAAATGTTTGCTGTTCTTACTTCCAGGCGACAGCAGAAAGTGGGACAGTCCGCTACTTCCTTTTATTCCTTATCCAATCTCTCGCAACTCCAACCTGCCCCTGCCCTGTTCCCGTCTCAGAGGACTTAAACCTGGACAGAGGCTGCAGCTGGGTGCTCCCATGGCCGACCCGGATATGGGGGTTCCAGTGCCTATATTGGCTGTGACCATCCATCCTGAGACTGGACTAGTCTATCCTCTGGGGGGAGTTCATGTCTGCCCCATCACCCGCCTGCCTCAGCCAATACAGATTGGTTACCCCATGCTGGATCCCAGGACAGGGAATATTGTGCTGACCGTGGGGGTCAGTTTAGATACAGTTACAGGTGAGTGATGTTGGTGACACCCTCAGTCCAAACTGCATAAAGGTTATTGTAACGTCGCTTGAAACCTATTTTTTTATAACTGTGCAGGAGCTGTGCTGCCAGTAGGTGGAGTCCTACTGGGTGAATCCTTCATCGAACCCCTAAGTGGTCGCCTGATGAAAGTGAGAGGAGCCAGCACACGGGCAGGACAACTGGTGCCGAATACAGGAGGATACCAAGCTGTACTAGACAGCAAGGTGTGGAGTATTAGTTGTGTTGTACTAGTACTAGTAATTTGATGTTTATTTACATTTTTTATTAACATGAATGATTTTTAAAAAAATAAAAAGATTGATTTGTATTTCTAGGTTTAATATTTTTAAACCTGTATTGATGATAAATGTGCTATGGATGTGAATGTTTTATAAGTTTATAGAATTCATTACGGAAAAAATGAAAACTAATGTTTCAAATAAACTAAGTTTTGTCACAACCATCATAGCCTTCAGAATTTTCTGCTTCAGGTTCTGGCAACAATGTATAAAATTCTGGACCTGCTGAAGCCACTGATGGAGGAGTGGGGTTCAGATCCAGGGCTGCAGCCTTCGCAGCCTCATTCAGGCAGTGAGAGAGGCAGCGGTCGTCAGGATCATCTTCTGGCTGCAGCCAAGGAGCTGCAGCAGGCGTGGGGTCGAAGCCTTCACTGTCAGCTTCAGTTACAGACCCGGTTAGAGATGATACTGGACTGGGCTCTGGATCTCCAGCAGGATGGAGGGATACTAGGTGAGGAAAATAACAATGAGATATGGAAAGTATTTGCTCGTGGGCATTACAGCATAAAGTCATCTGTGCATTTATTCATACAGTGTTTCCTGAAACTGGAAAAATAATATCTGAAAAAAAAAACCCCTCCACATTCACTTACTTTTATTTCATACTTTTTTGTCTGCTCATTGCAGTGAGAAAAAAAAATGCAGCTTTCCTTTTTTTATCTGCTTATCTGTTTCTCCTGCCTTTGTTATAAATATTTATTTTATAAATATTTTTCCACTTCCAAAGCTCAGATAGCACACATTCTTTTTAAAAACCCTGCATTAAGGCAAACACATTATTATTATTATTCTTTTATACTTTTTCCTTGTCTTCTCACAGCACTGTCCTCAGATAACCATTCTTACTAAAATAAAGTTTCAAACTTTATTTTAGTAGCAGAGTTGGGCAAGACTCTGTGAGCCTGAGGAAGATGATCAAACAACTGCCATCCACTGAAACTAGGCGTCTGATGTCGTCCCACATTCATTAGCGCCTTACATTAAATTGTGCTCCACACTAAAAGCCCTTATCTATGTTTACATGAGATGAAACAGAAGCTCCATCACAACATTATTCCCAGAAGAAGCCAAATGTATCCAGATTACACACACATTAAAAACAGTGATAAAGGAGTTTCCTGCTTATTTACAGGACCTGATTGGTTGTCTGGGATCAGTGCTTTGATTGGATAATGTAGTCAAGGTTCCGTCGTATGTTCTTTACCAGAAGTGTGTTAAAGATCACGTTTTGTCACTGTAAAGAAAGTCTTGTACTATCATTCTTACATATGGCGTTAATACAAATTTCGCACAAAAACTTCACACGGCGCTATACGCAGAAGAGTTTTTGATTTTGTTTATATTGACTGGTTGTATGCCATCGGATTCTTTTGTATTTGTTTTTTGGGAACTTTTTGCCCTTCATTGTAGCTCCCAGGCGTAAGCCAGACTCTTCTGATGTTTTCATGTTACCACTGAGTTAGTGTAGATGAGTGACATACAGTACAGTATGTGAGGTCTTACAACAGAAGTCGAAGTTAAGTCAAAGACCCCTGTACTTGATTTTCCATTTGCTCAGTGGGTTGTGGGATATATCCCAGACCTGGTTCTTTAAGTGTTGCCCCCAGGCAGCCTTTCCTTGTCAGTTGGTACTGTACTGTAAATGGCAAAGCTCTTTGTTCAGTCTAGACTAGTGAACTGCCATTGACATACAGGACAGTTTTAATCATCTTTGTTTTTCTTTTCTAATCCAGGAGAGATGCCGCTGCTAGGCTCTGATGTTTGTGTGCCAGCTCTGTTAGGACTGGAGTATCCCGATCCTATGGGATCTGGTCTCAGTGTGCCGGTACTGGGCTGTCAGACGGATCTGATGTCTGGGAATACAGTGCCGTTAGCAGGTACCATGGAGAACCACAGTGGACAAGGTAATGTGTTTTTGTCTACTTAAGATGTTTCGGATAGGAGTGCTGCCTTTAATGTTCAGTCACATTTGCCATCACTGATGTACAGCAATACTACAGACATCACACCACTCAATACATCAATGTCAATTTAACCGTTTCAGGCCTGGTGGCGATCCGATATGGAGCTCAAACTGTGGATCCAGTGATAGGTGTTCTGGCCGCAGTGGTTGGAGCAAGGCTGGATGTGAGCAGGAAAAACATTCTGCCCATTACTGCCCCCTACTGGCTCACACTGGAGAACCAAACCAACAGTGTGCAGGTGAGACAGTTAGCAACAACATCTGCACATTAGAGTTAAATCACACCTGAACTACTTGTGATTCTATTGTCTTTACCAGGTGGAGGCGCTGCAGAGGGAGGTGTGTATGAGAAACACTTACTGGCAGCAGCAGAGGCAGCGTGAGGAAGAGATCCTCGCTGATATGGACTCAGCTCTTTTCCAGCATCTCTGTAGAATCTCAGACTTGAATTCTTCTCAGGTCAGCAAGAAGATGTTGTCTTGGCTGTATATGTATATACAGTATATATGAATCTGAATGTAGGGGTGCGATTAAAAATGATTGCATCCTTTGAAAATGGAAATGACTCAGTGATGTGTTTGAAGGTGGCAGCAAATAGCATTGAAAAGTCATTCAAGCAATTCTTTTCATAAACGTCCATGGTCGGCCAGTGGGCAGGGTGGAGGCAGGGTTGCGATGCCTTTTCTGTGAATGCATATGTGCATATGTATGCTCCCCTACATTTATTCCAGCAGTTGATTGTGTGGGTTTTTCTGGCAGTATGCAAAAACGTGACACCTTTGTTATCCATGTGCACATTGGTGGAGCAGGTCCAGTGGTCAGGGAGACAGCTGAGGGAGGCGGCTGCAGAATTGCAAGAATCATCACAGGCCGAGGCCCAAAGACGAGCGGCTCAACACTCTCACCTTGTCCTTATCCTGCCCTGCCATGTTTTTCTCATCCTCACACAAGGTAAATAAGCTGCCAAAGTGGCAGGAGAGAGGAGCATGTAGGAAATTGCAGTCATGACCTACACTGTGGTTGCTTTCCATACAAGGCGCAGCTCCGTGCTGCATAGTAATTTCCATCATTTCATTGTTCGCTGTTTCTTTGGGTTGGCAGTGTGTCTTTGTGCCTTTGTGTGTGCAGGGGATGAAGAGGAGTGGGATCAGGAGAACGTCTGGCAGTCCGAGCTCTTGTCCGGCCTTGATAAGGTGGATGTTTGTATGGAGCGGTTGCAGCAAGAGCAAGAAAAATGGACAAGACGGGAGGGAGACTGGACTTCATCTGTCCATACTGTGGTCAGAGGAGCAGCTTTGGTCTTTTGTAAACTCTCCTCTCAGGACAAATATTCATGTCTCCTGAAGCACTGCAGCAGTTTACTGGCTCAGCTTTGATGTGTTCTTGCTGTGTGTCACATTAATGGTACCGATGTCTTTCAGACAGAAGTGTTTTCCCTTTTTTTCTCTCTACAGGGCAGAGAGCTGAGACTGAGGGAGGTGTGGAGTCAGTGCTGCTCCACACAGACAGATCTGGATGTTGCACTGATTGCTCTGCATTTTGTCCGACATCTTTCTCAACTCCGTGCCGACACTGCTCAGGTCAATGCTGCACAGAGTCATTATCCTAAATAATATGTTTGTTTTAGCTTCAGAGAAATGCATTTTAGGAACCGCAGGAATAATCAAAGTGAGCAAAATTAGGAATTAGTTTAGTTTAGTTCAGTTTAGATTAGATCGAAATAAAAATGATGGAATTAATTGAAACATTAAAATCCTCTAAATGTACTTAGATGTGCTCATAAACCCATATATATCAACAGATCTACATGAATACAAACCTACAAACATCACACTATATATATATATACAATTCTATGGTGGAGTGAAAGTGCCATTAGTTCATTAAAATCAGAATTAAAGTGTGAAATAATAAGTGAAATAATTGTATATATATATATTATATATAATGAATTGTTATTTTAATTCATTAATGACATTAAGTCATTATTTAATTATGTACTTATTTATTGAATGTTTCAGTCCTCCATAGCTCATCAAAGACAGTGGAACCTGGTTTGTGTTCAGATAGATCGTGGTTAAAATAGTTTTTGGACGATAATCTGTGTTGTCTCCTCCTTGATTGTTCAGGTAGTTCTGTGCCGCAGCTTCTGGTACAAAGAATATGGTCTGAGCCAGAGCTGTGGACGGAGACAGAAGAAGGTTGTAGGTTTGCTTCAACACAAGGCTCTGCCTCTGCTGGAGAGACTCAACCAGGTCCTGGAAGAGAAACAACCCACCAGCAGCTTTTCCTCCAACGCCTGCAATCAGCAGGTCACAGGTTGTGAATTGCAAACAGTCCAATGACGCATATTACATGACAAAATCCTCAGTACAACATTAGGGTAGAAAATATTGGCACAAAAAGACAGATTGACAACGAGTCATTTACAACGACAGCCTGGACAGGAGAAGAGTAGTTTGTCATTATTTGACATTTTGAGGCTCCACTCTGCAGTTTTTCTGCTTCTCACTGTGGCACTGAATATAAGTTTGAATAGAACTGCAAGCTTTGCCTTGTGTGGTTTTGAAAAATTCCACAGCTCATCTAGTTTGACTGCATTATCATTTCATAATACGTACAAAAATAGAAATCAATCATCAATTTCCAGGGACAGTGTAAAAAAGTCATGAATAAAAATTTAATTCAGTTTCCTGGTAGCTTTTTTCTCTTTTTGGAGTCTCTACATTCTACATTTTCCACAGTGAATAGTGAATATAAGAAATATTCATCGAACAAACATGCACCATGCTGTGGAAGTGCAGACTATTTGAAGCCATGGATGTGTTGAAGTGGGAGTGACTTTAAAAATAACTGCACAACCAGAACATGTAATGAGTATTCACACATTGTACTGAGCAACACTGGGGTTAATTTATGTATTTCAGTATTTTTCGTTGAGAACAAAGACGTTTTTTTAGGACACAAATGATGAAGTCTTATGAGGATGCAGCAGTTTGTAGTTAGAAAAGGAACAGGCTGTTGCCAGGCTGCTTCATTAAGAATAACATGTGAACTGTTTCAGGTTTATCTCCAAAGCAGGCATACAGTTTGGAGATAGCCTCCAGAGCTTGGACAGCATCTGTGCCTGTGGTGAAAGGTATGTGAGGAGGGGGGGTGGCCATTTGTCCAAATTCCTCAGGGAAGTTGAATGAAGACATAGACAGACATGGTGTTGTTGTCTCTGTGTGAACAATGGCTCCAGGTTATTATTTTGGTCTTGTTTTAGAGGAGAGATCAGTGAAGTGTCACATAATTGTTTTAAACATGACAGAAAATGTTGCCATCTCCTAAACTTCTAATGTATAATGGTACTTTTTGCGACCTGAGCCAAGGTCGGGGGGAGGGCGGGG